GTTTAGAAATTCTTGTAATAAGAATTGAAAATAAGAATTATATTGGAATAAACTTGCTTTGTATTGATATATGATTGATTGAATAAAAAGTGTACAATACCTCTATATTTATAAGCCAAATTATCCCTAATCCTATTAATAAAAGAGAATTAAAATAAGGAAACTAAATTCTAAAAGGAAATAAACTAATCCTAATCTAAATAAAATTTAAGAATAAACCTATTACAATTAGAAAAGGAAATTAGAAAAGATAATTTAAAAAAGACAAACTCCTAGATAAGGTGAAACTATCAATTGTAGTTATGATGTACTACATCACTTTCTCTGAACAAAAATAGATTCTATCCACATGATCCCTGCTGGTTTACAAACTGTTTATTGTCTCTAGGGATGTATCCTTTTACCTTGATTCACCCAGAAGACCTCCTTGAGAAGCTGCTTTTTCAACAACAGATCTTGATGTCACATGCGTCATTTGAATCGTCCTCAAATTTGAAATGGAAATATTCTAGTAGTTTGAAATGCATCTCCGAGTTTTAACATTTGTATCCATATGCTAGTTGGTTCATGGAGAGAGAGAGAGAGAGTAATTCTCTACCCATCTCCCTCCCTACTGTTCTATTCGGATGTTGGATTAACAGTGTCTTTTGGTTCTTTGTAGACAAGCACTGGGGATACCATGGGTGCTTCAAGCACAGGAATTTCATCAATACCTGGAAACGCAAGTTTACTTGGGTATGTTAAGTTTAAATTTTGTCATGTTAGTTTTGTATTGACCTGCACACTTAGCCCCTGATTGGCCCCCATTTCTTAAAACTAATTTTTTTCTCCAAACTCATTTTCGACCACACATTTCATAAGAACCACAATTTTTATCAACTTTTCAACCACACATTTCATCAACTTTTACCAAAATCTACCAAAAGATCTGATTTTTATCAAAACCAAACGGGAGTTTATTCTGTTTCCTACTATTTCCAACCAAAAAATTTAAAATTCTCTTTTTCAATAAGCAACTGAAGAGGTCCTGTGATCTTTATTGTGTTTTTCATAATTCTTCATTTTCTGTGAAAATTGACATTGAACTTTATGTTTATGTCAACTCTTGTATTGACTTGAAGACGATACTCTTCTCTACAAAATTTCGGTTCATGCTCCCTAATCCTGCTATCTGATTGAACCAATCATGTCCTAGTTGCCTTTGTTGCCAAAGTAAATTATTCTATCCTTCCTGAACTGAGCTGTGTGATATTGGGGTTGAACATTATAGTTTTTTTTTTTTTCTGAAACATATAACGAAGAAAGATCTTCCTTAAATACATCCTCTAACCTTTCATTTGACCGAAATGTTACTGTTTCCAGTTTTCTCAGATTCGATTTTACATAGCAGGCAAACACTAAACCTATTATGAATTGTGCAAGCTAATACATTTTTGCACAAGAACACACGCTATATCAGCTTTATTTTATTACGGATCTGGAATATATTTAAAAGATGATGCGAATCACAGCCTTCTGTATAAAATATCTGAGTTAGCTTCTGTGAATAGACGACTTCATGCTATATAGCTTTCAAAAATCTGTAGATAATTTTTGTTCGACAAATCTCTTGTTTAGGAGAACAATTTTTTTGGCCCAAGCAAAATTCATCAAAATCATGTTGTCTGTACTTTACTGGGTGCATATAAATTAAGATCAAGGCAACCACTGTTTGCAAACATTCATGTTTTTCCAGTATGACAACATCTTTTCAATTTTTCTTATTGGTTATATAAATTGAGGATATGCTAATTTGGATTTTTCCTGACCCCATGGCATTGAGCTAAAGAGCTCTGTATTTTTTATTATTGAGTGAAATATGAGGGTTCCAATTGGTTACGTTCTTTATGATTTCTAGCCAGCTCATATGGTCACTTAATATAATGAAACTTTAAATTTTAATATTTCTGATTCTTTTATAGTTTGTGGATGACGGTATCACAATTTTGATGCAGATGGGCCATGAGCTCTCTGACTCTAAAAGGGGGCAAAACTTCTGAGCCGAGTGTTCTTGCTCCATCGAGTGCAAGTGCACCTATTGCTTCTTCAATCTCCAATGCCAGCTCTGGTGAACATTTTGCCCCTTTATTTCGTTCACATATGTACATTTTCTTTTAGTAGGATACTTAAATTTGTTCGAGTGCTGCTTTTCTAGCTAATCACTAGCGTTCACTTGTGTAAATGCATCTGCCCATTTATCAGTATCTGATAATGTTTCTTGACATCATAGACTTGGATGGTGCACATGTACCGGCAGTCCGTGTAAGTTCTAGCCCAGATCTAACTGATCAGCCTGCACCTGTGTCCCCTACCTCATCAACTGATGGATGGGGAGAACTTGAAAATGGCATTCATGTAGATGATGAGGGTGAAAAAGATGGTTGGGATGATGTTGAGCCACTAGAAGCATCAAAACCATCTTCAGCTCTTGCAAATATCCAAGCAGCCCAAAAGCGACCCGTCTCACAGCCAAAACCACAAGGTACTTCCGTAATCTCCTTCCAATCTTAACTATGCTAAAATTTCACGTGTTTAATAAAGCTTTTGGTTAGCTCCTTCCATGAGCTCTTATGAATGCTGCGATGTGATATCATCCCAACTCCCCGGCCCCCAAGGGAAGATTTGACGCAGTGGTCGCACATGATAATGATTACTTATATTAGGATACGTCAATTAGAGATCTGTAGTCAAATTATATTATTTAAGAAGTTAGAGGCTGCTAAAGATTCAGGAAGAGTGGCATGTCGAGTCCTTCCTATTTATGTGCTCGTGTCATTTTCTTGCTAATGGTGTTCTTTTCTGACCATCATAAAAATTCCCACTTACTGGACACGCCATTTTGATTCAGTTACAAGTTCAAGACGAAAAAGCACATTAAAGACAAGTAGAGATGAGGACAATGACTTGTGGGGTTCAACAGCCAACCCTGCTCCAAAACCTTCAAACTCAAAAACAAGCATAGTTGACGACAATGACCCTTGGGGTGCTATATCTGCTCCAGTTCCGAAATCATCATCAAAGCCTATGAATCTGAAATCTGGTGGATCTGCTGATGACGACCTTTGGGCTTCGATTGCAGCCCCTGCACCCACAACTGGATCCAAGCCCTTGTCAGCGGGGCGAGGCAGAGGTTCTAAACCTGCTGCTCTAAAACTGGGTGCTCAAAGGATAAACAGAACATCATCTGGGATGTAAACATGATACGCTACTTTAGAAATTTTTTCTGTAAATTTTTTCATCTAGCAACTTTTTGAGTTATAATGAAATAGTGCCTCTAGGAGTGCTGAATTCTTCTTTCAAATACGACGTGGGCTGTGATAATGTTTGTTTTAATCAAATAGTTCTGCTTTGTAAATTTAATCTTACACTTGTACAACGTGCTTGCATGTTTTTAACCGAATTTCAAGTTGTAAAACTTACTTGAAAATTCCAAAATGAGGTTGAATTACTTGCATTTTGATTTCTGGCTTTTCACACCGTCTTGTACTCGCTTCTTCGTCAAAAACTCAATCACCTAGAAAGAAGTTTGATGTTCACAATTCAAGAACCTAATTTTGAGATGTATATACTTCCAAAATCAAGTCATCACACGTTTTTCTTTCTATGTTGCCATATGAATTTTGTACGCATTCATTTGGTATATATATATATATATATA